ACAGCATGACAAACACGATAACATCTGCCACACACTGAACTCACCTGGACACCAGTGTGTGTGTGTGTGTGTGTGTGTGAGACAATATCCATTAGTCATAACCCATTCTCATTTTTGATGATCAATCTCAAGACTGGTCTTTTAGTCCGTTTTCAGACTTCACAAAGCATTATTTGCAGCGCGCCTGCCATCCGATAATCACAGTTCGTTTGGTGTTTTGCTACCAATACATGCACTATATTACATATTATATTTTGACTGATGTCTTAATGATTTAAGAAGACATACATTAAATAATAAAGTTTGTATGCCACCGTTAACATGTTTATTTCCAGACAAATTTCAGTAGAATCAAAATGATGAAGAAAAACTTCATTATAACTGGCCTTGTGTCCAATTTAAACGTTTATGGTCAAGTAAGATTTATTTTGATGAAACTTTATACATAAACCGTGTCAAAGCAGCTTCACAGCAATAGCAGCAAGAACTGAATCAGTGATGCAAACTTTAAACGTGAGACAAATTCAAAACTTTAGTGTTGATCATTATATCTAAATATAAAAGGCAACTGACTTTTATAGTTTTTATTAAAATCTTTAGTATTATTGTAATATAGGGCTGCAACAACTAATCAATAAAATCGATTATTATCTATAATGAAAATAATTAACAACGATTCTCATTATCGATTAGTCAGGTCCGTAAATGGTCATGCTGCGAGGGATGTTTCCCACCGGCACCTGATCGCTCTGAGCACACACACATAACACAATCAACACTCTGCATGATCTACACTCAGCCAGACAGACGTGACGCTCTCACACACTCACATGCTCCTGAATGCGCAGCTCCTGGAACTTGATGAACTTTGACCCGCGTGTCTGCAGGTACAGCCGTCCTCCAGACTTGTTGGTGACGCACTCCTGACTGGGACACATGATGAGCGGCGTGAAGCTCGGAGAGGCGATCTGAGCAGTGGCAGGGACAGGACTCGTGTTAGCACACACACACACACACATGTGAGCGTTTAAAGACACGTATGCACTAATGAGCTGCGCACCGGCTGGTAGGTCTCGGCTCCGCACTGATCGCAGGTGTACGTGGCCACAGCCATCATGGGTTTGACCTCCGTGGCTCTGGTGACGATTCCCCTGACGGTCACCAGCTGACCGATGCTGTCGGCCTTCACGTCACGCACCACCTTGGGCTTCAGCGTGGACGGAGGACGGAAATAAACCTCACTGAGAAACACAAAACACATGATTCATGCAGTTATATACTACAAAACCATCAAGTGAGTGTGTACAGTATGACAGACAGGAACACGATAACGGCTGTCACACACTGAATACACACCTGGACACGAGCGTGTATGTGACTATCAATTCAATAATCATTCAATCAATCCCAAGATTTATCTTTTAGTCCGTTTTCAGTTGAACAAAACTTCACTAAGCATTATTTGTAGTGCGCCTGCCACCCAATAATCATTTGTTTTGTTCCTTTTATGCACTAATACATGCATTTATTACATATTCTGAACACTTAACAATAACTGTGGAACACACACCATTTATACACTCATACACTTATTTATCTAACACTCATACTCAGTCTACACCTCAAATTTGCACATAATATACAGTACCTGTACATACAAAAACTGTCTATTGTAATATACCTGCACATACAATTGTCGATTTATATATTTTTATTCCTTATTTACTTGTTCTATTTTTATTTTTTTATTATCTGTGTTTTTTTGTTCTGTCACTGTCATTCTGTTACACTGTGGAAGCTTCTGTCACGAAAACAAATTCCTCGTATGTGTAAACATACCTGGCAATAAAGCTCATTCTGATTCTGATTCTGATTCATTATATTTTTACTGATGTCGTCATTATTCAATTATATTTCAATAAATCATGAAACAAATTGTACACCACCATTTCAATGTTTATTTCAAAACAACTGAATAAAAACAAAATCAATCAATTTAAAAATGGCTTTATGATCAATTTAAATGTTTAATAAAGTCACATTTATTTAATCAAATATGAGACAAATTTAAATTTAGAGACAGTTGATCTAATATCTAAACATAAAAGACAATTGACTTATCTGAATATAGTTGTTCATATAATCTTTAATATTATAGCAATATGTTTAATACTATAGTAAAGTGTAGTTTACAACATTGAGATTTTTTTCCTTAAGAACAATTGACACACCACCTAATATATATCGAAATGAATCAAATCAAATCAAACTAAGAGCTAGTGAATCAAACCAGCCCCAGTGTGTGTGTGTGTGTGTGTGTGTGTGTGAGAGAGTGTGTGTGTGTGTGTGTGAGAGTCACTCACAATCTGCGCATGAGTTCAGACGGATACTGGTTCCGGGGGTCATGCGTGTCTGCGGGGTCACGACCTCTGGTCTCCATCATCAGCCGGTGCTCGATATAAACGTCCAAGGCATCCTTCGCCACCACCTACAAAACACACACACGCATGGCTCAGACACGAATATATCGATCAGCAGGCAATGTTAGTGATATACAGTGAATTTCAGCTGTGTGAATGTTTATCGCTTCATGTGAGCCTCCTTTGTGTAGGCAAATAAAGTTAGACATTTAAAGCTACTTACATATTCAACTATATATGAAGAGCTGCGTGATAACGGCTTACATTTTGCGACAATCACAATTTGATTTGGTATATAGCATATATCACGTTATGTGAACGTATGTGGATAAAGCTGAATATACTTATTGCAGGTTGAAGTCATTATAGACCTGTTATAGTATCATTTTCTAGAGTTTCATTCTGCACATCACAAGCCGTTGGCGTATTAATTTTCTGACGTTCATATAGATCTATAAAGCGATCTATAATGTCAGTCAGACGCAGCACCTCTCGCTCTCTGTACTCCGGCAGCAGCTCGTGAACCGCATCCGCAAACAGTCCGGTGTAACGCTTGCTGTTCTCACACACGCTCTCCACCAGCTCAGGGTCTTCCTCCGCCACATCATCCAGATCCAGCACCAGCGCCACCTGCTCGCGGTGCGCCAGGGACACCTGCACACACACACACACACACACACACACAGGTGAGCGGGAGTCCAGCTCGAAGCTGCAGGAACGGAGCAGGCTGCAGATCTCACCAGCTGAGCGCCGTATTTGAACACCTTCTTCCCGGAGTCATCCTCGCTGTAGAACTCCTGCAGGAAGCGCTTGCACTTCTCTGGAACACAGCCACAGCAGAAAAACCACGATCACACACAAACCTGTCGAACGGCTCGTGTAAATGTTTAAGTGAAGGAAAAGCTGATGAGTCCAGATGAGCGCGCGGAGGAAGCGTAAACAAACGAGCGAAAGCCGAAACAAAAGCGCCGAACCGACACTGCGTCCAACTTCACACAATTACTAGTAGCTGTTCAACAGAAAATAAACGTCTGAAGATGGAGTTAAACTCCGCGAATGATCGCCGTGTCCAAGCAGCCTCGGAGCGACTCGAGCAAAACATCGAGTTGATGTAGTGTCGACGAACCTGATCGCGACTCCCGAGTCCGTGTCCCGGTGACAGCCGACATCTGCTCCGACCGCGCGTCATCTCGCTGCACATTTGCCTTCGCGTTATAAATGACGCGCGTGTAACGCCACTCGATGGCTGCTGTTTTTGTAAACAAAGCAGCACATGGCTCTGGAACCGCGCCGCTTCCGCGATCCCTCCGCGCTTCATAAAGTAGTCCCGTCCAGTCAGAACGCGACCGTAGGCGCATCATCAGCGGGAGCGCTACACGTACAGACGAAACTTTCACACGGTGCTGTAAAGCGACAACCACTACAGTACCGACCGATCGGAATAAACACACGCATGATTCTGGACGGATTTGTTAAAGTTTTGACTGAAAATAAGAGCGTGTGTCTGAAACCGAGCACGTGCTCTCCGCTCTTTGTTCCGAGCCTCCATCCGGGCACTGTAGCACAAGCGCGCGCAACCCCCGCGAGCAACAGCTAAACTAAGTTAGAAACGCATCTACAAGCGTAACGGAACACAACAAACGCCGTGTCGCAGTAAAACAGCACGTGTGTCACATCGATTCCACTCGAACTTTCTGCTCCAGTTCAGATACCAAATATGATGATTCATGTGTTTTCATTTAATCAGACTTTGATGCGTATCGCCTCAGAAACAGAGCGAAGAGTTCTTAACTAGAGTTCATTTCCCAACTTACCCTTCTCCGCCATATAATCCTTTGGTGCCATGTTTATCGCAGAAGTGTGAAAAAGTCGCGTTTCTAAGGTAAACGTGTAAATATTTGACCTAGGAAACGGTTTCCTGACTGAAGATGCAACACTCTCGAGCGCAGCTGCAAAAACTGGCGCGAGTCTGCTGGCGCTTTGCACCAATGAGAACGCGTCTCCGAGTGCGCAAGGGCGGGGCTCTGCCTGTGGCGCGAGAATCTTCCAAACGTAGTTTGTCACGTGGGCAGATTGACCAATAAAATCTAAGCTTTGAAACGGCGGCAAAACAGTTCGGTTGATGATGTCATGACAAAAGCGGCGAACAGTGAAAACATCCGGAGCTCGAGTCTCCAGCAGCGCGCGCTGAACATCATACAATATATCTAATAATAAAAAATAATAATGTAAAACAAACATCTGAAAGTGCAAAAAACGAATATGCGAGATTCCCGCCGGACATTAATGACGCCTCGTTTCTTTCACTGCACACTGTATTGTAATATTACATGGTATAGTGTATTGTGCTGTATATTGTCTGCTGACAGATGATCAGGTTGTGTTCGATTATATGAAGAAAAAACAAACACCTGCACTGTGGCTTTGTGTAAAATCATGGTGAAAAGTGTTAGCAGTAAATCTGAAATCTTACAGAAAAAAAAACACTTGCCAGAAATAAATGTAAATTATTTATTTTAACAAAGATAATAAACAAAACTGTTTTAACACTTAAACCAACATCATTTTTAACCATCAAATCAAATAGGTTTTTTTTATGCTCTTATTCAGACCAACCTGGTGACATTAATGACTCAACTGAACCGTTTTACAGGGATCTTAAAACAGCTGCATTAACAAAACATCCCAGAATGATCCACTGGTGAAACGTGAACATGCGTCCCGGTCCGGTTTCATTCGAACAGATCCTCCAGGAAGCTGGCAGAGCCGTGTGTGGAGGGCTGCAGGACAGAGGAGGAGGAGGAGGATGAAGAAGAGGCTTGTGCTGATCATTCAGTGAGCCTGCAGTGGCTTTAACTCACCAAAGCGATGCCCAGCTCAGAGTCTTCATCATCGTAATCTTCAATTTCTGGCTCCTCATCCTCTGAAGCATCCTCATGACCCAGAGAGAGTCTGAGCACACACACACACAAGCACGCGCGCACACACACACACACACACAAGCACGCGCACACACACACAAACGCACAGTATCATGCGTTTTTAGCACAAGCTGCTCTCTCATGTTCACCTGCATGCGTTTCATTATGCCTGAATTTATCTGTCTGTCCCTAACTCTGATACTCTGATGCATACAGTTGTTTTTATGAATTTTGGAAACATGGTTCTGTACACGTGAATAATGTGAAAGAAGCAGAAGTGCAGATGAACACACTCACGTGCTGAGATGAGACTGGATGCTCTGAGAGAACGGACTCGACTGCTGTCTGCTGTGAATCACACTCTTCCTCAGGACGGACCTACAGACAGACGTGAACGAGTGTGTGTGTGTGTGTAACAGCTAATGAAAGTAGGAGCAAGTCTTTCTTACTCAAACCACTCAAATATCAACCTGTTGTTCAGTATATTATTAGTCCAGGTTACAAATGTCACAAGCTCTCTGTCTCTATATTTAGGTGTCTAGTCATGAGTAAATAATTGTAAACCAATCAAAATAAAACTGATTTTATTAGTTTAGCTGGATGTCATGTGACCATTAACCAACATCAGAGACCTGTGAACATGTTCAATTCACTTAAAAGTCAAGTCATTATTTGAGCTCTGAGAGGTTCAGCTGATGAAGATGTTTATGAACAGGATCATAAAGCACACATTACATTACTGTTTGCTGAGGCGTGTTGTCATCTTTAACATGAATGAACTTACTGACACGTGTGCATCACATTTCTGTAACATATGCATATGTATTATGTCCTTTTAGTAATGTAGTTTATGAATTGATATAAATACCCGTCTGTGAAATCATCGTCCATGTCGACACGGCGTGTGTGTGTTGTTACAGCTGGAGTTTCCAAACGGCTGGTCAAACCTGCACACACACACACACACACACACACACACACACACACACACACACACACA